GGGGGGGGGGCACCTCTGCCTCCGGGTAGAGCTTGAGGAGGTGAGAGAAGTCGACGGCGCGCTCGCCGCCGTGGTAGTAGACCTGCGGAGGGGAAGGGAGGGGGGGGGGGGGGGGTCGTGCTCCGGGTGCGCGCCTCGATGCCAAACCTCGTGACTCTGGGAAGTGTCGGGGAAGTGTCTGGGAAGTGTCGGGGAAGTGTCTGGGAAGTGTCTGGGAAGTGTCTGGGAAGTGTCTGGGAAGTGTCTAGGGAGTGGAGGCGCCTTGATGCCAACCTCGAACTCGCCCCACCCCTGCTCCGTCACCTGCGGCGCGGCGGGAGGCGGGAGGAGCACACGCCCTTACCTCCCTGCGAGGCGCCACTCTGAGCGGCGGAAGCCGTCTTGGGTGTCTAGAAGCGTCACCTCAAACGGCGGCGCCTCGACTGTTCGCGTGGAGGGCGTGATCGTGGGGTGGAGCTGGAAAACCACCCGCTTGATGAAGAGCCCTGCGGCGGCAGAAGTGGTGTGGCGGTGGCGGTGGGCGGGCGGGCCGGGTCGCGGGCGCACCTGGGTCCTCGTCTGGTGAGGCGGCGCGGACCTGCGCGGGAGATGCCGCGGTCGTCGGCCTCGAGGGGTGCAGCGCTGCGCTTGCGTGTGGAGGCGGGTGACGGGCGAGGTGGCGGGCGGCGGGGCGCACATAGACTGTCCACTCATGCGACTTTGACTCCTCGGCCTCCTTGCCGCGCCAGTAGGCGCACGAGCCGACCACAATCGGCCGCGACGCCTGCTGCACCGGCACCTCGGCGGAGGCGGAGCCCGCGGGAGGAGGAGGCACAGGGAGAGGAGCCGGCGGCGCGGCGGTCGCGGCTGCCGCAGCACTCGCCGTCGACATATGTGTGTCGCGAAAAAAGAATTTAGAATGGTACAACAAAACAGAGAGAGAGAGAGAGAGAGAGAAAACTGCCAATGGCCGTTATCCGTTAGTGCGGACGTCGCCGCGGCTCGCCTCTGCCGCGGCGGCTGCTGCGCGCACGCGGCGGCGCCGCTCTCTCGCGAGACGGCTGGCGACGCGGCTCGCCGCCGACGTACGGTGCGCTCGTCCGACGGTCCGCAGCGTGGCGTGCGCGGCGCTGAGCGCCGCTCTGCGAGCGCCTCTGCGCCTGCACTGCATGTCTCTGTTGCTGCTGGTGGTGGTGGTGCTGCTGCTGCTGGTGCCGATGCTGCTGCTCGACGACCCGTTGGCTCGAGGAGGCGCGAGGCAGGACGGACGTCATCCTGGTGGACCCTCCCCGCTGCGGGCTGGACGCGGACACGCTGCGACTCGTGAGCTACTTTGACCACGTGCTGTACATCTCCTGCAACCCGGAGGTCTAGGGTACCATACTTGACCCCCCCCTTGGCGCCTCGTCTTTTCCTACCAAACGAGCGTGATTTTGGCCCGTCGTTCTCCGCTCGCGCCGGCCGCCCATGCGCTCGCGGGGCTGCCCGACGGCGCGGGCCTCTTGCCGATGGACCCAGCCGAGGTGCCCAACCAGTCGAAGTCGCGCCGGCGCGCTGCGCGCGACCACCAGCCAGCTTTTCAGCGAGGTCGAGCACGGTGCGTCGAGAGAGTCGACAGTCCAAGCAGCAGCCGCTTTTTTTGCCTCTTTTTGAGCGCTGCTGCTGCACACCCAGCCCACCAGTGATACGAGACGCACCGGATCCAACCCTGGCAGCGCTTGACCGCGACCCCGATGACCGCCCACAGGTGGCTGATTGCGGCCGCCGCTCACGCTGCTTTTCGGCGCCTGGCTCTCAGAGGGCCCCTGCGGCTCTCTCTCGTCGCGTGACCGCCGCCGACATCATGTGCTCGGTCGTCCCCGCCGGCGCGGAGCTGCGCCACGTCGAATTGTTCGGTAACTCGACCGCCGGCGCGCCCGCCGGCTCACCTCTCGCGCCGCCCCTACGCACAAAGCCCGCTCACGCCGCACGTACTCAGCCATCGGCGCGACATCACCCCCGCGCAG